CTGTCCACAAGGTTTAGGAGTGTGTCTATGGGAAGGTTTGACAATTCTTCCAGAAGAGCATTTGTGAGGTCAGGCACTGATGTCGGACGAGAAGGCCTGGCTCGCAGTCTCCGCTCTAATTCATCACAAATGTGTTCTATTGGGTTGAGGTCAGGACTCCTTAAGAGGAGGCCAAACCCAACTCCTGAGAAAAAAAAAACTCTACACCACAATCCCAACACCTCCCACCCTCCACCAAACTTTACACTTGGCACAATGCAGTCAGACAAGTACTGATCTCCTGGCAACCTCCAAACCCAGAGACATTCATCGGATTGCCAGACAGAGAAGCATGATTCATCACTCCAGAGAACACGTCTCCACTGCTTTAAAGTCCAGTGGCGGGGGGGCATGCTTTACTCCACTGTAATATCTGACACTTTGCATTGCACTTGGTGATGTAAGGCTTGGATGCAGCTGCTGGGCCATGGAAACCTATTCCATGAAACTCTCTATTCACTGTTGTTGTGCTAATCTGAAGACCACACAAAGTTTGAAGGTCTTTAACAATTGACTGTCCAGACAGTTGGAGACTTCTGCTCGCTTCAGCATGCGCTGACCCTGTTCTGTCATTTTACGTGGCCTACCACTTTGTGGCTGAGTTGCTGTTGTTCCCAGTTGCTTCCATTTTGTTATAATACCACTAACAGCTGACCGTGGAATAATTAGTAGCAAGGAAATTTCACGGATGGACTTATTGCACAGGTGGCAATCACGGTACCGGTACCACGCTTGAATTCACTGAGCTCCTGAAAACGACCTGTTCTTTCACAAATATTTGTAGAATTAGTATGCATGCCTAGGTGCTTGATTTTATTCACTTGTGGCCATGGAGTTGATTGGAACACCTGAATCCAATGATTTGGAGGGGTGTCCCAATACATATGGCAATATAATGTGTATATACAGTATATATACTGTACATATATAAAGTAGGTTGAACTGGATAAACCAGTGTCTTTACTCACTATAAAGCCTTCAGATTTAATTTTGGGAAAATTGTCAAAATCTTGTCAAGATTTGGATCATTTGGTTATTGGATGCAGCCCACCAAAACAGCTTTACATTGGCCAGGGGCTGACTGGCAATTTTTGACCCAAGGAGAAAGTGCAACCCAGATGACTATGGTGCAGTGACTTGGCCCCCCTCACGCTCTCCATCTTCCCGTCCTTCTCCCAAGGCTTGAAATAAGAGCATCACAGGCCTGGTGCTGAGGATTTTGGTGGGCCTTTGATGAAAATAAATAAATGAAAATGCAAACAATTTTTGTTAAAACAAATTAAATTATATAGAGAGAGGGAAGATGGAGGGGAGGGGGTGAGAGAAAAGAGGTGGGGGGGGGGGGGGTGGTAAGATGGGGGATGGGAGAGGGGAAAAATAAATTTGGTGAATGGTATGCGTGGCCAGTGGGATTAATAAACAGAATCTGTGCCTAGTCGCTATGTACACTGCACACATATACCACAGTCCTTGTAAATGCTTCCATTACATATGCTTTTGTGCACACAAAAAGGATATCATTTGTTTGAGTGAGCCTACCTTAAAGAAGAACTTCATTAAGACCAGAAACTGTTGAGGCAATGAACTCCTTGGTCAGAACTATGTAATGTACAACATAATGAATAGAGTACAGGGGTCAGGAGTAAGTAATCTGCAAAACAGCATATAAAATGATGCAGTCAGGATAAACCCTCTGTTCACATTAGAGTTCCCCCTTACATCAGAGTCCCCAGTATTTTCCTAAACCTCAGACTTCCCAGAGTCCCTTCTTACATCAGAGTTCCTAGTGTCCCCCCCTTACATCAGAATGCCCCCCTTACATAAGAGTTCCCCTTTACATCAGAGTCCACAGTTCTTCCTGGCATTCCCTCCCTACATCAGAGTCCACAGAATTATTCTTTACATTAGAGCCCCCCCCCCCACCTTAAATCAAGGTTTGCAAAGCCCCCCTTAAATCAAGGTTTGCAGAGCCACCTGTACATTAGAGTCCACAGAGTTCCCCTTTACACTGTAAGGGGAAATCTGAAGACGTTCATGTAAGAGGGAACTCTGGGAAATCTGGTGTAAGGGGATTCTGAGAACCCTGATTTAATTGGGAATGCTGGGGATGTAAGGGAGAATGATGTAGAATCTGGTGTAAAGGGGAACTCTGTAAGAGTGCCCCTTAAATCAGAGTCTACAGAGATCCCCCTTACATCAGGGTTCCAGAGTTCCCCCTTACATCAACATCTGCAGAGATCTCCCTTACATTAGGGTTTTAACAGTTGCCCTTAGAATGCCATGCCTTAGTCCCCCACAGTCTAGGGCACTTCAAGTCACAGCATATCGGGCTGTCATTCCTCACTGAGGAATGGCAGCCCGCTATGCTGGGATTTGTAGTGCCCTCTGTAAGGGACTGAGGAATGGCGGCCCTCCTTGCTGGGACTTGTAGTGCCCTCTGAGGGGAACTGAGATATGGTAGCCTGCTATGCTGGGACTTGGAGTCTCCCACAGTCTAGGGCACTACAAGTGTCAGCATAGTAGGCTGCCATATCTCATTCCCCTACAAAGGGCACTACAAGTCCCAGTATAGCGGGCTGCCATTCCTCACTGAGGGTGGCAGAGCAAGCCTGAACAGGAGAAAGTTACATCCTCCTCCTCTGATGTGAGGCCTGTAGAAGCACATAATTGGTTGTTGGGATGTTAGGCGGTCCTAGCAACCAATAATTTTGACAGGGCAGGCAGTGAGTGTGATCTCAATGTAAACTGCTAAGAAGACAGGGAAGCCAGTCTGCTCCTGCTCCTTCCATATTTAAAAAAAATGTCTGCGATGAAAGCAGCTTTTTTACAGGGCATAAGAGCAGCCTGGGGGGCAATTGTTCCCCTCTCCTCCAGCCAGTCTGCCCCTGACATTGGCCATCCCATTCACAGATCTCACTGTCAAGGGACATTTTCCTCTTGGTGACCTGGCAAGGTAGTCACTTTTAACAAGCTAAAAGAGGTCTTTAGCATGGCCCTAATACTGATACCCAAATATTTGTGTTTTTTTTTTAGTGCAGAGTTTAGTGTCCCATAAATGGGAGAAGGGTTACGTCATCTTGGTATTCAAGTAGACTTGGGAACTTCCACACAGCACAAGCTGCAAACATACTATTAAAACCATCATTTGGACTGGTGGAGCCCCCAGGTACTCAAATAGTTAGTCTTTTCCAATCCTTCTGGTGACAAGGACAAACACATGTAACACCCTGCAGTAACACTGCTTGCAGGATGTTAAGTGAACACAAGATGGCAGTGTTCTGCAGCTCAATTGTGCAGACTATGTTGATAAAAAGCTTTGTTGGTTTTGTATGCAGGTAGCAGGACTTCGCTGTTCAGATAACAAATGAACATACTACATTTCCCAGAGGAGCCTGCAAAGGAGCGAGGGGCATACCAATACAGAAGCCCAGGAAACAGAGGGCAGGAAGTGGATGATGAGAGTCAGAGAGCAGCTGTGTGTAGAGAAGACTGTGCAGGATGCCAGAGGATCAGGCTGGACCAGATCCCAGAGAGTGTGGATGAATTGCAGGCCGCTGGCATTGCTGACAAGCAGAACAGACTATCCTGTAGGCAGGGGGATCATTTTGCCAACAATGGAACCAAGAGAACATGGGGGCCCCTTGCTAAGAGACTATCTGCCATATTACTGAAGCTACATACTGAGTGAGAGAGTCCTATACTTAAATCATTACCACTTGCAAGTGACAGTATTAGGTACAGTTGCCTTCTTTTCAGTTTAGTTCAGTTTAGTTCAGCACACTTTGTCCCACAGTTACTCACACTAAGGCCTAGGCTGTCCAGCCTATCCAGCCATGTGGCCTACTGATTATTGCAATATCAGCATCTTAAATCATAGGACTTGGCTACAATATATGCACCCTGCAGATAAAACTACATTAGTTTCTCAGTTCCAGTGTGTTCTAATCACCAAGAAACTTTCTCATCACACTAGTTTACCACATTTTAATGAGGGATTAAACCCTGCTGACGTCTACTTCTGCCCCTTTCTACAAACTCAGTTTAATCCTAAACTTTGTTCTTTGAGTTAAAGAGATATCATCACAACCCAACATCACTAAAAGAAGCAGTTCCTTTTCCTCCACGTCTACACTATCTCGAGGAAATCTTGCTTTTGTATCAGAAAAGATCTGAACTTTTATGTGCACCAACTAGGACCCCATCGAGCGCACAGAAGATTGGACACCTCTGTGTTAAGTAAGCAAAACAAACAAAACGGGAATTGAAGCCCCTAACCAAAGAATCCATTTACAGAGTTAAAGTCTCCAGTGACTGAGAACCCAAGTGTGAGTTATTTTGATAGTTTGATCATTCCTTCTAGGTCACTTGGGTAGAAACATCTCAGAGCTGGGACTGCTGTTTTGCAAATTCTGATTTGCAGGACATTTAAGGATTGATCAAAGTGGTACTGTGTTACAACACTTGGTTGAATCTTTTAGAGTGTTTAGTTTTTTATCCTATGCACATATACCAATATAATTTGTTGTGCTTGCACTCTTTACATTTTGACTTCATTATAACCAAAACATTAGTTCACTCTAAACTGTCTATTTATGGTTTCAAGCCAGGGGGTCCTCCTGGTCAAAAGTTTAATGTAGTGTTAGCAGGGGTTGAGCTTCAAAAGGTGGGCTTGGGACAGACAGGGAACACAAAAAATACCCAGCGGGCCTTAACCACTTGCCGACCGCGCATAGCCGAATGACGGCTTCACCGCGTCCGGGCCAGTTCTGAGTGGACGTCATATGACGTCCTCCCAGAACGCGCTCTCCTGCGCGCCCCAGGGGGCGCGCACCCGGTGATCTCCGTGATCGCTGTGTCCTACGGACACAGCTGATCACGAGATGTGGTGATAAAAGGCCGATCCCACCGGCCTTTTACCACGTGATCAGTGGTGTCCAATGACACGCTGATCACAGGAAAATGCAAGTGCCGGTTCTCGGCTGCACTTTCCTCACGCTGTCAGATCGTGAGGAAAGTACTGCCGAGAACCGGCAGTTGTCAGAGCGGGGATCGGCACCGATCATCAGGGCACTGATGATCAGTGCCCTGATGATCGGTGCCCAGCAGTGACCCCCGCAAGTTCCGATCAGCTGTGCGCCCACTAGCCCCGCCCACCCATTCCCAGCGGTGCCCCCACCTGTGCCCAGCAGTGCCCCCACCTGTGCCACTCTGCAGTGCCACCTACCTGTGCCCAGCAGTGCCACCTACATGTGCCCAGCAGTGCCACCCACCTGTGCCCACCCACCTGTGCCCACCAGCGCCACCCACCTGTGCCCACCAGTGCCACCCACCTGTGCCCACCCACCAGTGCTGTCCACCAGTGCCACCCACCAGTGCTGCCAGTCAGTGCCACCAGTCAGTGCCCAGGGGTTGTGCCAGTCAGTGCCGCCAGTCAGTGCCCAGAAGTGATGCCAGTCAGTGCCGTCTATCAGTACCCATCATCAGTGTCACCTATCAGTGCCGCCTATCAGTGCTGCATATCAGTGCCGCCTATCCGTGACCCCTAATTAGTGCTGTCTATCAGTGCCGCCTATCCGTGCCACCTCATTAGTACTGCCTATCAGTGCCCTTTAGTGCTGCCTATCAGTGCCCATCAGTGCCGCCTATCAGTGCCCATCAGTGCCGCCTCATCAACGCAAATCAGTGAAGGAGAAAAAATACCTGTTTGAAAAATTTTATAAAAGAAACAAATAAACTTTTTTTTTTTTTTCAAATTTTTTGCACTTTTTTTAATTTATAGCGCAAAAAGTAAAGCGCCCAGTGGCGATTAAATACCACCAAAAGAAAGCTCTATTTGTGAGAAAAAAATGATCAAAATTTCATATGGGTACAATGTTGCATGACCGCGCAATTGTCAATCAAAGTGCGGCAGCGCTGAAAGCTGAAAATTGGCCTGGTAAGGAAGGGGGTATAAGTGCCTGGTAGGCAAGTGGTTAAGGGGGTAGACACATGTTGCAAATTTAGCAAAATTGTAAAGTGATACTAAAACCCAGGACTCTGCCTTCACTATATCTGGTCTCCCACAGTACACACAACATGGAAATGCAATTATTTTAGTAAATATAAACTGCTAAATACCTTTTCTCATCAGCAGTTAGAGCAGTCTTGTGACTTCAGCAGAGCACTGGTTAAAGCTTGTAAGAGTTTTCTTTCTGCTCTAGAGAGGATGCAAAACCCCTGACCTCTGTCTGAACAGTGCTGATTGGCCCTGTGCTGATCACATGCACTCTCCCAAGAAAAAAAAAAAAACCTCTCCAGCAATACACACCAAACTGAGCATATGCATGTGACTACAGATTCAGTCTGTATTAGGTGGTCATTTCAACAAGAGGAGGGGCAGAGACGAAAGGATCAAACAGCCTTTTTACACAATGTGGAGGATTAACCCCTTAGGTTCTACAGTGAGTATAACAAGCATGCTTTACTGCATATACAGACTGACTTTACTGTTGTGGGTTTAGTAACACTTTAAATGCTTTCCAAACCACACACTGGAAATGTTATTTTTCAAAGAATATACCTGAAAATTTAGTAGATTTGCAAAAGGCTGAAGAAAGAAATATTATTGCACTAAGAAGATACAAAAAACTAGAAGTAAATTGATACCTTTTTTGTTTTTAAACTAAAAATACGACACACATTAATCTAAGCATAATGGTATAAAATTCCCTCTTTTCATTACATAATTTATTATATTTTTCATTGCATTCTGAAACTGTAATTTACATTGTCACATAATTATACCTCTTGCATGGTTTAATTGGCGCAACATGTATGGCCTTTTCAATTGGCGACGAATAGCAAATGTGTGAATTGTTCTATAGAGAGCCATACTGGGCCTCCTGTTGAAGAAAAGATGCTTTCCATCATTTGATTAATACTCTTTAATTTAACTGCTTGATATTCATTATTCTACTCTTTTAATTTAATTTAGTAATATTACAGCACGTTACCTGACAACTGTTTTATTGTTTTTGTTAGAATGAAGCATGGAAAATTAGGCTACATGGAAAACATAATGATTTACAAAATTAAATGATAGAGTTTGACAATGAAATTGTGAAGAATGGGAAATATGAACAAAATATAATGTAAACTTGATACGAAAAAATGAATGATGTTGGTAAATATCTTTGCTAAATACTAGGGCACAGTAGGCCCTTGTCTGTTGTCAGTAGGGGCAAATAGGCCTTTTTTTACTACTATAGACATTGGTTATGAATTTTTCATTGTCAATTAATAATATAGATACTGTATTTTGTTAAAGTTTATTTACTATACTGTTCAATATCCTAAGCCAGGTTAGGCAAGGATGGATATATCATTGGGTGCTCAATATTTTGTGCCTACAGGCTCCAGTGATGGAATTCTGACCCTGATTAAAACTGATAACTAAAAGAAAAATCAGTTGTACGGATGAGGTTCCCCATTGTCCGCTTAACCTCCCTAGCGGTATGATTATTTCAGATTTTTGACGCTGAAAGCGGTAGCATTATTTTGCATGGAAATATGTAGTTTTTTTTTATTGTAGGCCTGTAATATTTAGGAATAACTCACTGAAATCTGTCCGAACAAGAGTCTATTAAACATCCCGGGTATGATAAAATTTGAAACACAAAATCATAAATTATAATTTAATAAATAATCATAAAAAATAATAATATAATAATAATACATTTAATTCAATAATATAATCAAACCAAAAACACTGAAGTGTGAAATATAGCGCCAAGTTCGCACATTGCTGAGCAAAGTCGCAAAATAGTTTTCAGCGTCCGATGACGAATTTCTCCACGAATCATTATCACTCAATTCTGCAAGTGGTTCTGATTTACTATCGCTGTTCTCTAGCTGGTCTAAAACCGATTTTGACCAAAAGGGATGCTTTTTGGATGCCATGGACTTTTCTAAGTTTCCAGGCAGAAAGAACATTCAAAATGCAGGCAGGGGACAGGACAGAGCACTAGGGACAAAATGTATATGAAATGGGTTGAAACAGCAATGTTTTACTATGTAAAATCGTTTTGAAAAAAATGACATTTTTTAAAAAATTTTCTAATTTCCCGCTGCCGGCGGCGCCCGTACGTCCCGACGTCACAGGGACCGCAACACAGGAGCCGGCATCAGCCGGAGGAGATGGCCGGGGACGATGCAGGGGACACATCGCGGGAGCAAAGGACAAGGTAAGTGCTGCAGGGACTCCCTATGCAGCGCCGCATGGTAAGCCCGAGTGTAGCTCGGGGTTACCGCTTTTTGATATAGAAATTTTACCCCGAGCTACACTCGGGAATACTGTTAGGGAGGTTAACACTGTATTCGCTAATTTGTCAAGTCTCTTCTATTTTTTTGCCATGCTTAGGATTAGCATTTTACTGAGTGCATCAGAAATGTTTCAGTGTGTTTTATGCTGCATATATAATAGCTGGTTATCGTCTAAGGCAGGGGTGTCAAACTGGTGGCCCTCCCGCTCTTGGGAAACTACAAATCCCATCATGCCTCTGCCTTTGGAAGACAAGCTTGTAACTGACAGCCTTCCAATGCCTCATGGGATTTGTATTTTGGAAACGGCTGGAGGGCTGCCATTTTGACACCCCTGGTCTAAGGAGTGTAGTCTCAGTGGGTTGGGTCAAGGACAGATAAGTATGATGAGCAGCATTACACAAGAATACACAAGGACTGCTGCTGAACTGCCTTCTGTAGGTAGGGAAATCTGAGCCTCATGCAGGGACTGAAAGTTATTAGAAACGCCACTCTACTTTTTTTTGGGCAGTCCTTCTACCTTCCACCTTTTTTCTTTTTTTATGTTTATTATAAACATGCAGAAAAGATGTTTATTGGCTGAACTGGATATATTTTACCTGCATAAGAAGCAAAAGCTTGCACAAAGTGGAGATTTTTGTAAATTGGGTATTTAGCACAACTTTGTAACACCCAACTGGGGCACAGAAAGTACTGCTAAGAATTTACCCATAGAGAAAAAAAGTTCTGTGCTCCTAAACTAGGAGAGGCTCAGTGGTTGATTTACTAAAGGCAAATAGACTGTTTACTTTGAAAGGGAAGTTGCACTTTGCACCTCTTCCTGCCTGCACTTTATACCTAGAACAACCGTTTTTATTACCATGACAGTCTATTTCATTAAAATGTCACTTTTGTGTGGGCTGTATTTAATAAAAAAAACAGGCAGAGAATTAATTCTACCATTTGCAAAATCTAAAGGTTCTTTTCTTTTTTTTTTTTTTTTACAGCTCTTGCATTATATGAAAAAATAAAAACATGTTTTCTAAAATTATATGGATTGTAAGATTTAATGACAATGTTTACATAAAAGCTTCTGATACAATCACAGTAAAATATAGTTTAGAAATGTGGATGTTCAAATCCAGGAAATCTACTGTGAGATATCTCAGCAATGACAAATCCCTGAATGAATAATTTTATACACCACAACGGGTTGAATATTTTTGTATTTAAAAGTTACTATAAGCAATAAAGGAGTAACCTTTCATCATGTAGTCTCAATTCAAGTACGCAGTAGGGGAACCATATTTGTTTTCTATTTAAAATGCCTTTTTTCCTGACTCTCCCAAGTTCTTTTCTTTCATTTTTTGAATGTATGTAAAATTCATTTTATAGAACACTAATTTTTTCTGTGTGTTGAAATAGTTTGTCAGATAGCCAAGAAAGCGGATTGATAGTGTCCCACAGTGTCTAAACACTAGTTTTTTCTGTTTAAATATGTAAAGTCACTAAATATTATTAGCTTTATTCAGTAATAACATATAGGGAATTCTACATCCAGTGATAATGTAGGAAAGCCCCTCTGTTCCGCAGTGATGATCAGTGTTGGGATTGTGCTTATTTGGAATCTCCACCATGTGGGCTTGATTTACAAAAGCAATGGGAAATGTTCAATCAATAAAGAAAATAAAGTAATGATAACTTAAAAAATCCAATCCTGAGTTTTTTATTTCCCAAACTTAGCTTAATGTATTCATAAAGCTGACTGGATAGTAACTTTGATAAACATTCAGAAGTAAATCAACCCATTCAACAGTCCAGAGAGAAAACATTGTCTTCCTCCAAGGTTTCCACAAAGAGAAGAATAAAAGGGGACTTTAACTGTGTTAGTAACATCGCCTTCAAGAGAAAAAAAATCAAAGCAAGAAAATTTATAACATATACATTTTATTCCAAACTATTGTTAAAAAACTACTGGGGTATACACCCCATAAAAGCAGAGTAGTATCAATAATCAGCTCAGGAATCCCTAAACACCTCCTATGGATACAAATATTAAAT